ACACTGAAAAACTCTCCTTTTCTTTAGCCTATTAGTAGTTTTGAGGTTAGAACTATAGGAGAGTTTGATTACCTCAAGCATATGCCAAACACTAAAAAAGACAGAAATGTTCATGCTTACACAGAGTACTAGAAGCAAACCGTTTCCCTATTTAGAGATCTAATCTTTCAAAGGTCCCACTCCCAGATCAGACTATAAATAAATGTTGTATCAACTAAGTAGTAACTGACAATATATTGTTTATTCCCAATGTCTATAAACATTCCACTTGTTAAAAAAAAGAAAGCAGAAAAACAAATGCAAAAGCAAGAGAGGAGAAGAAATCAGGAAAACCAGAAGGTAACAGGAGCAAAGGAAAGTTCACACATACCAAGGAACTGAGGATTTCGATCAACCACTTCGCTCATCTCTCCAACCAATTCAATGCTGGTATATCGCACAGCTGTATGTACAGTCTCTGGGAGACGAACAACTCCTTCTAGGACCTCCACAAGTGTTGGATTGTTTTCCCTGAGTATAGAAGGCAAGCACTCACAGTTACTGATTTCAGAGGTTATGTTCCAGCCAAATAACAGGCTGTGGTGACACACAGCAATGCTAAAGGGCTTCTTTCTAAATAAATAACCATTCAGATAAAAGTGCTTAACGCTGAGTGTGAAAGGTTTTCAGATCCTCAAAAAAGGGGGAAAGACAGAAATCAAAGATATCATTGTTTCAGGAGACACATATTGCTCCTTAATCTTCAGAATGCCAGTAAAGTGTCTAAAGACACACCACGCTATCAGATAGAGGCTCTTTAAATTGGAGGCAGACATTTACTGTGGATGAATGTCTTCTTTTAAAGGATCTATTTATTTCTACATTTGCAGTACCTAGAACAGTGCCTGGCACATAGTGGGCACTCATTAAATATCGCTGAATGGCTAAACAAATAATTCTCATTGTTATTCTCTGTAAGATTTCGTATAGCTGGATATTAGAAATTTTAATAACAGGAAAGTATGGGTGGCCAGTTCACTAACTGAAAAAACAAGAAACCAGCTGCAAGACTAGGTTAAGGTGCCCCAATTTGGAACACAAGGGAAAATTAAAGTTAACCAAACACTTTCCATAGCTTTTTTCCATAGCTTTCTGTGAATTTCTTTTTTCCCTTTCCTTTTCTCCTCCCTACCCTCGAAGTATACTGGCTACAGTTCTTTTGAGCAGAGTAGAGAACGCCCCCAGAGTGGTAGAACTTAATCCAGAAATGAAAGATGTTTAAAATGTAAATAATATCCTGGATTAGAG